AAAAAAAAAAAAAAGAAACTCTGTTCAAAATTAACACTTTCTCCTGAGACCTTCATGTACACACCAAAATTGATTTCACCCTTGGAATCTATATTGTCTGGTGTGCTTTATCAAAATCCACCTTTGTAAGTTGCTGTTGTTTAGTTTCAAATTACTCTCTTGCCCACAGAATTTCATGATTTCATTTCAGAAGACTACTTCTTCAAGGATTCTGTCATGTGCTGCTCTCACAAACTCTATTTGGGGACAAAGTACAGCTTTTTCATGTTGGCATAATTGACACATTACCATTGAGCTTTTTCTCCAGTTCACATACAGGCTGAACTTGTATCTTCTGGAAAGTTAGAAGTTGGAGAATTAAAGATCATCATAGCTTTCAGACACTGCCAACTTCAAATAACTCCAATTTCCATGGTGGCTTTGACGTTGTACCCTCTGAGCTGAGCCCTTAGGTCAGATGTTAGAGGTCATTTCCAACTCCAGGACAGCCAGAAAAAATGTCAGGCTCTAACTCTGGCTCTTCAACCTCAAGTGCCCTCAAGACAGAAGGGAGCAGGATATTTTCTTGCTAAGCATCAACCTGAAAAGAGCTGCCCATCATTTTTGGCCAATTCAAGAACTTTTAAGTATCACTGAGATGACCAGCACAGCCATAGTTAACACTTTTTGTTTTTGAGACAGTCTCACTTTTTCACCCGAGGTAAAGTGCTGTAGCATCATAGCTCACAGCAATCTCAAACTCTTGGGCTCAAGAGATCCTCCTGCCTCAGTCTCCAAGTAACTGGACCTATAGGTGCCCACCACAAAGCCTGGCTAATTTTTCTATTGTTAATAGATGCAGGGGTCTCACTCTTACTCATGTTGGTTTTGAACTCCTGAGCTCAAGGGATCCTCCTGCTTTGGCCTCACGGAGTGCTAGGGTTACAGGCATGAGTACCCAGCAACTTGGGTTCTTGATTTTCTTGTCTATGAGGTAAATGCATTTCAGTAAATGCATTGCTAAGTCCATTACAGGTTTGGGACACAGCCATGAGGAAAATCTGCACAGGCAGAGTTGGGTCCAGGTATAGCATGTCAAGACTGACCAGAGGAAGGCCTTCTGGAAAGAGCATGGGATTAGGGGAGAAAGCCTGAGTTCTGATCCCTGCTCCACCAAGTAGTTGTGTGGCCTTGGGGAACCTTTCTGCTAAGCCTCACCTGCCTTACCTGTAATGCCGGGGTAATTAAGCTTACCCAGCAGGGCTGTCATAGTAATGCAAGTCGCACACTTGTACACAGTAGCCATTGTAATAGATAATCACAGCTACCCGGAATGGGCCTCCCTATCTGCTGGGCACTCTGCCTAGATTACATTATTTATTCTTCTCAATACTCTTATTATCCTCATTTTCCCTATGATTAGACCGTTGAAGAAACTGAGATTCAGAAAGGTCAAACCATTTGCATAAATTCAACCTGGCATGCTCAAAACCATGCATTGTAATGTTCCCTCCAGCTTCTAACATCATTCTCACACTTTATCTGCCACATTCAGGTATAGATGTATACCTTTTAGCTGCATCCTAACTAATTAACCTTTCCAAATCTTAGGTCCTAAATCCCCCCAGTAGTACTTTCATCTTGTTTCATCTCCTTTCAAAAATAAAATGTGTGTGTGTTTTAACTATTTAAAACTTGTTCAGGATAGTTAGGGTTCATGGAAAAAACAAAAAACATAGCACTCATTTCAAAACTGGTATATTTCCACAAGCCATGATTTGGCTGTGGCTGTATCTGTGGCTCTTTCAAAGCCCCTGTGTTCACAAGGGTAGCTGCTCTGCTGGAAGGTAACAAAGGTGCACTTGAATGTTCTGTTTTGATTTTCCAGCAGCTGGTGAGGCTGGTGACTTTGTACATAAATATAGCCTTTTTTTTTCCCTTGAGACAAAGTCTCACTCAGTTACCCAGGGCTAGAGTACAGCAGCAGCAACCTCAAACTCCTGGGCTCCAGTGATCCTCCTGACTCAGCCTTCTGACTAGCTACAAGCACCCACCACGATGCCCAGCTAATTTTTCCATTTTTAGAAGAGACGGGGTCTTGGTCTTGCTCAGGCTGATCTCAAACTCCTGAGTTCAAGGGATCCATCTGGGCTCCCAGAGTGCTAGGATTACAGGCGTGAGCCACCACCCCAGCACATAAATATAGCCTGGAAGGCAACTTGACTGAGCTACAGTGTATGGAAAAAGCCATAGTCACCTAAAGCACACTGATCTTTTTGTGAAAGAAAATTGATTCTCCTGTGCAATTCAAATGGATTCAAGTAAATGTTCATTTCTAACCTTTCTAAAGTCTCACCGGCTGAGACTGGTGAGACCCTAGATAGGGTGGCTGCCAATCCCAGGATGCCTTGAGCTTGCCCGGGAGCACAATGGGCAACACAGCCCTGACGACTAAGGTAAAGAAGATCTCCAGGAGGTCCCCCTCCCAGGTGGAAACTTAGCTTCACCTAAGTCCCAACAGAATGCATGGCAAGTTTTGCTTTTTATTTAATTTAATTAATTTATTTATTAATTTATTTTTTTTAATTTTTTTTTTTTGCCGTTTTTGGCCAGGGCTAGGTTTGAACCCGCCACCTCTGGCATATGGGATTGGTGCCCTACCCTTTTGAGCCACAGGCACCACCCAAGTTTTGCTTTTTAGAACTGCTAAAAAAGAGTGCAATTTTACTATTTAAAAAAAATATATTTTTTTTGAGACAGACTCTCGCTATGTCACCCTCAGTAGAGTGTTGTGATGTCACAGCTCACAGCAACCTCCAACTCTTGGACTTAAGTGATTCTCTTGCTTCAGCCTCCCACATCACTGGGACTTCAGGCACCCACCTACAGGCCTACAGGCTATGTTTTGGTTGTAGTTGTCATTGTTGTTTGGCAGGCCCGGGCTGGATTCAAACCTGCCAGCTCTGGTGTATGTGGCTGCTGCCCTAGCTGCTGAGCTACAGGTGCCGAGCCTATTTAAAAATGGTGTTAAAGCTGAACAGTGTGGCTCAGAAAACTTGCTTATCACTTGAAGCTGAATTTGCTGGGAGAAAAAAGGGAGAGAAAGTAACACATGAGCACAGTGAAAAACTCACTCCATAAAAATGAAGCCTCCATTCCTCGTGCTCAGCTTCTGAAAGGCAGCTACCGTTAGCAATCAAGTCTTTGCAGGAATGTCTACAGAACTCAGATAATCTGTAGATGGTGGCGTGTTCCGCCACCGCCACCCTCTGTGAATGTGGTGGCTGTTTTGTGCCTTGCTTTTCCCACTTCACTGTATGTCTTGGCAACTTTCCCTGTCAGTGCAGACACAGCTGTCTCACTCTGGAAACATCTACCATGTAACCACTCTCCTAATGACAGATTGTTTCTAGGCTTTTTAAGGCAGTCTGGCTGAGGCCCCTGATCTCTAAGATCCATTACCTTAACAAGTGGGTCAAAGAATGTGTATTTTTAAATCCTCCAAAGCCCTGTAATCCTAGCACTGTGGGAGGCTGAAGTGGGTGGGTTGCTTGAGATCAGGAGTTCAAGACCAGCCTGAGCAAGAGTGAGACCCCGTGTCTACTAAAAATAGAATAAATGAGGCAAGAGAATTGCTTGAGCCCAAGAGTTTGAGGTTGCTGTGAGTGATGACACCACGGAGCTCTACTGGGGCAAGAAAGTGAGACTCTGCCAAAAAAAAAAAAAAAGAAAGGAAGGAAGGAAGTGACAAATCTCTACATAAAGAACAAAGGACAGGTTGGAGGCTTTATTAAAGAGAGAAATGTCATACATTGCTCCCTGAGAAAGTTCATTGGCACTAGTAGAGTTCTGGCAAGGGCAAGTTTCCCCGAGCGATGACAGCAGGTAAAACTAGTCTTAGAGTTGTAGCAGGTCATTTCAGCAACTGTAAGATAAAAGGGGTTTCAGCTTACAGCTGGCAGTTTCAGCATCCAGGCTTGCAGAGAATTACATTCTTAGACAAAGTTATGTGTCGTCAGGGCTTTTTTCCTCTTGGCTTCTCTATTTTAGTTGAGTGTGACAAAAATGACTCAGTTCTTATGATCACACACTCAACCTCCAGATCTTCTTTGAACGCTTTCTATCCCTTTTCTCAGCACCAAATCCCAGCCTCCTGCTTGGCCACTATGAGTTGGTTGCAGGGAGACCCATTGAATCAGTTTTTTTTGAGACAGAGTCTCACTTTGTTGCCCTTGGTAGAGTGCCATGGCATCATAGCTCACAGCAACCTCAAACTCTTGGGCTCAAGCAATTCTTTTGCCTCAGCCTCCCAAGTAGCTGGGACTACAGGCACCCGCCACAGCATCTGGCTATCTTTAGAGACAAGATCTCACTCTGCTCTGGCTGGTCTCAAACCTGTGAGCTCAGGAAATCCACCTGCCTTGGCCTCCCAGAGTGCTAGGATTATAGGCATGAGCCACCTTGCCCAGTCAACCCATTGAATCTTAAAAGTCAGCTGAGGGCAGAGAGGATGGGAAGGGAATCTGGGTACACTCTTAGAAGGAGTACGGTTAGGCTGAAAACCATGGAGCAAAATATGCACAATTATTATATATCAGTAACAAAATAAATTAATTCAAATAACAACAACATGGCTTGGTGCCTGTAATTCAAGCAGCTAGGGTGTCAGCCACATGCACCGTAGCTGGTGGATTCAAATCTAGCCTGGGCCTGCCAAACAGCAATGAATCAAATAACTAGAACCAAAAAATAGCTGGGCATTGTGGTGAATGCCTGTAGTCCCAGCTACTTGGGAGGCTGAGGCAAGAGAATCGCGTAAGCCCAAGAGTTTGAGGTTGCTGTGGGCTGTGATGCCACAGCACTCTACTGAGGGCGGCAGCTTGAAACTCTGTCTCAAAAACAACAACAACAATAACAAAAAGCACATGGCACGTGATGACAAAGGACAAATTCTATTTCAGGGACCCACTCCTGTTGAATTTCTGACTCTTTTTTTTTTTTTTTTTTTTTTTTGAGATAGAGCCTCAAGCTCTCCCCCTGGGTAGAGTGCCATGGCATCACAGCTCACAGCAACCTCAACTCCTGGGCTCAAGCAAGTCTCTTGCCTCAGCCTCCCAAGTAGCTTGGACTACAGGTGCCCGCCACAACACCTGGCTATTTTTTGGTTGCAGCTGTCATTGTTGTTTGGCGGGCCCAGGCTGTATTTGAATCCACCGTGTACTTGGTTGGCGCCTTAGCCACTTGAGCCATAGGCACCGAGCCAAATTTCTGACTCTTGAAGTATAATTTTTTTTATCTTTTTTGCCAGGAAATCAATTTTTACAAGGTCATTGACTATATCCTGCACGGCAAAGAAGACATCAAAGTAATTCCGTAAGTATCATCTGTCAAAAGGCAAAATGACAAATTTAGTTTAAATATCTCAATGGATTTCATTTGTGATTCTAGAATCGCACAATACTTCATTCTATAAAATAGAATGTGTCCCAATGAGCTGAGTAGAAGAAGTTGGCTTTATAGACAGAGAAGGGGTATAAAAAGCAGAAGCAAAGAACAAAGAGCATTAGTCACTTCAAAGCTACTTTTCTTGTAAGGTGGGGACAAGGAGACAGAATAAGGAGACAGAAAAATAACTGATTAATTAGCATCAGATTACTTCAGGCTATTTTTGCTGTTAATGTTGTGGCATAAGGATTAAATCAGAGGGAACTTTAGTGTACAGGCCATCTCAGAGTTACAATATCTGAGTTATATACAACTCGCACTTATGAACAGAGACGATTTCAATAGGTCCTCAAGTTACAAACATGCGAACAATATACAGTTCACACAAACGGAGGCTATTACAGGTAATAGGTAAATGTACCTGTTCCAACTGACAAATTCGTGGTAAACACAAATCTGTAGACCCTATCTTGTTTGTAATATGGGGACTGCCTGTAATGCTAATCGAAGGTTGAAACTGGCCCGTTAGGAAATTGGCTTTATCTCTCTCCTAATGTTTCAGAAGGTCAGATACCAGCCTAGATTTGGTTTGGTGAGGTAGAACTTTAACATGGCGACTCCATTTTGATTTTTAGCCTGATCTGCTGGGGGCTGGCACAGGAGCTTAGCCCCAAACAATAGCCTGCCATAATTCCATTTAACATGCCTTAAAACATGCAAAATTTCAGGCATCTTATCAACATCTGAAAGATACTTATTCCAAGGTCAATACTAAGCAAATCCAACACGGTCCACAGTTAGATAGAGGCAGGGAGAGCAGTAAGGAGGCCACATGCAGCAGTGGAGAGTCTTACATAGAGGGGCAAAGAGACCTCAGTAAGGGAGAGACTTGATCAAAACCACAGAGTGCCAGACTGGGAGTCATGTGCTCTGAATTCCAGCCCTACATCCTGTGGCTTGTCTGGGCTTTGGTTTCCTATGTTAGAATGAGATCAAATCAGGGCTTTTCAACTGCTGTCTGTGGAGCTACTTCTGGGGTCCATGAGGGGCAAAGTAAAAGCAAAGAAAATGGCTCAGCCTCCAAGGCAAACCTGTTCTCTGAGGTCCTCTTCATATGTGACCAAGGAAGATAATGAAAAGGAAAAATGCTCTCAATCCTGTGTGTGGGTAGCTGGGACTCAGAGATCTTTTAAAGATTTGAACAGTTGAAGATCTTCTTAACATAGGCTTGTACTTTTCTGGTTAAGAGAGCATTCTTAAAATTTAGTTGCCTTCTTATCTATTTGAATCTTCGCCCTGTGCTATGAGCCATACCCAAGGTTCTGTTTTGAGAAATGGTTCTTTTTCTTAAATTAATTTCAGACAGACCCCTTGAGGTTGCTGTCAGGTTCTGTGGGAGAGCCACACCTTGGTCTTCTTTCCCCGATCAATTTTGTGGAGCTGAAGGGATTTACTGTATGCCACCTAAGTCCTCAAATTTCAGTGTAATAGGCCAAATGATTCCACACTGATCACCAAATCAAATTGTAATAATCCCCTTTCACTAAGGTAAACAAGTTCTCAGGTTATCTTTCACCTGTGAGGATAAGAAGTGCCTCAAATCCCTTAATTTTTGGCTTCTTTCTCTTCCCTTTTATTTTGGAGACAGAGTCTCACTTTGTTGCCCTTGGTAGAGTCCTCTGGCATCACAGCTTACAGCAACTTCCAACTCTTGGGCTTAAGCGATTCTCTTGCTTCAGCCTCCCAAGTAGCTGGGACCACAGGTGCCTGCCACAACGCCTGGCTATTTTTTTGGTTGTAGTTGTCATTGTTGTTTGGCAGGTCCGGGCTGGATTCGAACCTGCTCCAGTGGATGTCCAGTGTGTGTCCTAGCTCCAGTGTATGTCCTAGCCACTGAGCTAGAGGCACTCCAGTGCATGTCCTAGCCACTGAGCTTTACTCCTAAAGCCAGCTCCAGTGTATGTCCTAGCCACTCAGCTAGAGGCGCCGAGCCTCTCTCTTCCCTTTTATTCCTGCTAGCCTAAGGGCTGATTCTCTGAATGTTTCCTAAATTTGTCTCTCCTTTTTTCCCAATCTTATCAAATGCATACTTGTCTGACCATTCTGTTTTCTAACTCCTTTTCTAGAGCTACAAGTTTATTAAACCACCATCTGTCTTTTAAATAATCACAGGTCATAGTTTCTCCCAGCATTTCATCATTGCTTGGCAAACATCTCATCCTACTAGCCTCTAATTACAGTCTCCAGGCTGCCTTCCACCCAGTCCCTAACTTATCCCACCTATTTTAGGTTTTTTGTTATAGCAGCATCTCATTTCTTTCTTTTTTTGTGGGCGAGAACAGAGTCTGACTCTGTCACCCTGGGTAGAGTGCTGTGGCATCATAGCTCACAGTGATCTCCAACTTTTGGGCTCAAGTGATTCTCTTGCCTCACCTTCCCAAGTAGCTGTGACTACAGGCTCCCACCACAACACCCAGCTAGTGTTTCTATTTTTAGTAGAGATGGGGTCTTGTTCTTGCTCAAGCTTGTCTCAAACTCCTGAGCTCAGGCAATCTACCTACCTTGGCCTTTCAGAGTGCTAGGTACAGACATGAACCACCACATCTGGCCAGTATCTTATTTCTGATATACCTTTTTTAAATCAGCCAGAATAGACTAGGCTATGCTGTAAGGGCTTTAGTGGTATAAATAAAAAAGTTTTATTTTACCATCCCACTATATTGTGCATTGCCAGCTGGTGCAAGTGGTCGGGTGTATATTATGGGGATCGTAGTCAGTCATAGACCCACACTGATAAAGCAGCCACCATTTAAAACATGCCAGATTGATTAGCCTTGCCAGGGAGAAGAGAAAACATAGCAAGACACACACTGGCTCTTAAAATGTCCACCTGGAGGTGACACAGATTACTTCTACTCACATTTTATTGGCCAGAGCTAGTCACATGGCCACAGTTTCTTTAAAATGGATGGGGAATGTACCGTGACCCATGTGCCTAAAAGGATGGACAGCCAGAATATTAGTACAATATTAGAACATCTCGAATGGCTGCCACAGTATATGTCATCCGAATCAACAACTGAATAGTAAGTAAATGACAATCAGAACAGAGTGTTCACACAGCGTTGTTTATATTAGTCCCAGACTGGAGGAGAGGGGGGAGAGAAATGCCTATCGACAGTTGAATGGATAAATCGCACTACAGTAAAACAAGGGAAAACTGTAAGTCAATAAAAGAAATGAATTATAGCAGCATTAAAAAAGAAGCCAGACAGGTTGGGTGAGGTGGCTCACACCTGTAATCCTAGTAGTCTGGGAGGTCCAGGTGGGTTGATCATCTGAGCTCAGGAGTTCGAGACCAGCCTGAGCAAGAGTGAGATCCTGTCACTACTAAAACAGAAAAACTAACTGCAGATTGTGGTGAGCACCTAAAGTCCCAGCTACTCGGGAAGTTAAGGCAGGAGGATTACTTGAGCCCAAGAGTCTGAGGTTGCTGTGAGCTATTATGACACGGCACTCTACCCAGGGCAACAGAGTGAGGCCCCGTCTCCAAAACAAAAAGAAAATAAGACAAAATAATATGCATTGTATGATTCTATCTAAATGAAGTTGAAAAACAAGCAAATATAAGATAGAAGTGACAGGAAAACTTGCTTAGGTGGTAAAACCCTCCAGAAAAGCAAGGATATAGTTATCCCAGTGTCAGGATTATGGTTTCCTTTGGAGTCAGGGCAAAGGCTGGAAGGAGAAGGCAAAGAACTGACGATGCTTTTCTTTTTTTGAGACAGAGTCTCACTTTGTCACCTTCCATAGAGTGTCATGATGTCATATCTCAGAGCAACCTCAAACTCTTGGGTTCAAGCAATTCTCTTGTCTCAGCCTCCCTAGTAGCTGGTACTACAGGCTCCTGCCACAACACCCGGCTATTTTTAGAGACAAGGTCTCACTCTGGCTCAGGCTGGTCTCGAACCTGTGAGTTCGGGCAATCCACCCACCTGAGCCTCCCAGAGTGCTAGGATTACAGGTGTGAGCCACTGCATCTGCCCTGACGATGCTATTCTTGATGTTCTATGGTTTCACAAATGTTCATTTTCTAATAATTAATGAAGTTTTAAAATACATTTTTCTGCACGTGTTTTTTCTCAGAATAAACAAGCAAAAAGTAATAATACCAGACATTGTAATATTGTTTTGAGGGATCAATAAGTGTGGAAAGAACTTAGTTTAGTGTTGAGTATGTGGTAGGCGCTCACCATACACGCTATTTTTCTCTCTCCTTAGTATTAAGCTACTAACTTTATGAGGAACGTGATGGTATCTGTTTTTGCTCAATAGCCAATAATCTATAGAATGAATCTCTTCTCTTGGATAGGCACATTTTGTGGACAATCATAAAATGCTATGTTCATCATTCTTTTTTCCACATCTGGATTTGGGCATTAAGAAGGCTGGGGTGGGTCAGGTGTAGTGATTATAAGCAGGTGCTGGAAGCCACCAAAGTATCGGGAGAGGGCAGGTCCCTGATTCAAGTCTGATCCGATAACGCCTGCACTGAAAGTCACCATTTGTCTTTGGCCTTCACAGGAATCCTCCTCCTGACCACTGGGCTTTAGTAAGCGGCCTCCCCACTTATGTTGCCCAAAATGGCCTGGTAAGTAATATGGCTTTGAAGGGGGAGAGTTTGGAGTCAGGTGGAGGAGGAAAAAGTTTTCCAATCAAGATAGTGGAAAAGATAATGGGGAGCCCGATTCTCTTGTTTCTTAATTCTGTTGGTAATTGGTACAAAGAAATGAACAAATATTTGACATTTGAGGAAACACAAAATGCAGAGAGAAATGGAATCCCTAGCTGGAAAGGTCTATAGTCTTACAGGCGGCAGTCCCTGGGTTATAAATGAGATAGGTTCTGTAGGTTTGTTCTTAAGTTGAATTTGTACGTAAGTTGGAACAAGTACATTTACCTATTATCTATAATAGCCTCAATTTGTAAGTGCAAGTCATACATTTTTCATATGTTTTAAACCCTGGGATTATAATAGCTTCTGTTCATTAGTGCGAGTTGTATGTAAGTCAGATGTTTATAACTCGAGGACTGCCTGTATCAACAATAAATGATACTAACCCATGTGTGTCAGGGACAAAGTCACGACTGGCTGGCCTACTGGGCTGCGGAAACTAGTCCTAACCTCTCATACAAGGGACTTAAATTCTGCTCCCAACCTCCCATTCCCAGCCCTCCCTATAAAGCAGAGCTCACATGCTGTGTCTCCCACTCAGGGTGAAGAGTGGTGGGAGGGTGTCCCTTGTGCCTGAGAGCAAGGTCATGTCTGTCAGCTGCCCACCACCCCCTATCTGAGCCTGGTCACTCCTTTGCCCTCCCCAGGCACTACACAATGCTGTCCATGTAGCAAGGTGTTTATTTACTGAGACACTGTGATGGGCTCTGGGGATACAAAGATAGAGGAATCAGGTACAGTTTCTGTTCTGAAGCTCATAGTCAGATAAGGAGATGTCTTTACTAACAGAAACTTATGCTATAATGTGGTAAGGCCATGATAGAGAGGTACATGGTGTATCCTGGGAATACAGAGTATGGGCACCTAAACCAGCCTTGATTTCCTAGAACAGTGGTTCCCAACCTGTGGGTCGCGACCCACAGGAACTATATTAAAGGGCCACAACATTAGGAAGGTTGTGAACCACTATCCTAGAATGTGTTGGTCTGAGTTGAGTTTTAAAATAAATAGGTCTTAGGGCGATGCCTGTAGCTCAAAGGAGTAGGGCGCTGACCCCATATGCTGGAGGTGGTGGGTTCAAGTCCAGCTCTGGCCAAAAATTGAGAAAAAAAGGAAAAAAGAAAATAAATAGGTCTTAGGCAGTGGGTGCAGAAAAGAGAATTCCTGCCTACCTCGGTGTATGTGGCTGGCACCCTTACCCACTGGCACAGTGTGCTGTATGTAGCTAAGTGCTGCTGGAGTATTGGGTCTGAGATGGGAAATGAGGCCTGAGAGGGAGGAAGGAACCAGATCACAGTAGCCTTGGATGCCATATCCAGGCATGTGATGGGTTTTTAAGCAGGAGATCAGCATAGTCAATTTTCATTTTACCAAGATAACTTTGTCAGCTCTGTGGAAAGTGAGTTTTTTTTAATTTTTTTTTTTGAGACAGATTGTCACTTTGTCACCCTCAGTAGAGTATTGTGGAGTCACAGCTCATAGCAACCTCAAACTCTTGGGCTCAAGTGATCTTCTTGCTTCAGCCTCCCAAGTAGCTGGGACAAGGCAGGGCACAGGCACTTGCCTCAACAGCTGGCTATTTTTAGAAATGGGGTCTCACTCTTGCTCAGGCTGGTCTGGAACCCCTGAGCTCAAGGGGTCCACCTGTCTCAGCCTCCCAGAGTGCTAAGATTACAGGCATGAGCCACCAATGCCCAGCCCTACTAATTTTTTCTATAATAAAGTCTTGTCCCCTGACCCTTTTTGAGACAGTCTCATTCTTTTCCCTAGGCTAGAGTGCCATGGGGGGTCAGCCTCACTCATAGCAACCTCAGACTTCTAGGTTCAAGAGATCCTCCTGCCTCAGCCTCCCAAGTAGGTGGGACTACAGATGCCCACCACAACATCCAATTAATTTTTCAATTTTTTTTTTATATTTTATTTTTTGAGACAAGAGTCTCACTATGTTGCCCTTGGTAGAGTGCGTGGTGTCACAGCTCACAGCAACCTTTAACTCTTGGACTTAAGTGATTCTCTTGCCTCAGCCCCCTGAGTATCTGGGACTATAGGTGCCCACCACAACACCTAGCTATTTTTTTGTTGCAGTTGTCATTGTTGTTTAGCAGGCCTGGGCCAGGTTGGAACCTGCCTACCTCAGTGTATGTGGCTGGCATCCTTACCCACTCAGCTACGGGTGCTGCCCAATTTTTCTGTTTTTAGTAGAGATGGGGTCTTGCTTTGCTCAGGGTGGTCTCAAACTCCTGATCTCAAGGGGTCTTCCTTCCTTGGCCTCCCAGAGTGCTAGGATGACAGGTGTGAGTCATCATGCTTGGTCAATAAAGCCTTTTTAAAAGGATGAATACATTTACTTATTTAGTACTCATAACAGCTCTGACAGAGATGAGATGGCAAGAAGGAGATGAGGGGTCTAATACAGACAGGGTAAAACTGGCAGGACTCTGTGATTGATTAGGAGCAGAGAAGGAGGAGGGGAGTCGAAGCTAATTCCAGGTTTCTAGCTTAAATCAATAGTGCTGTCATCAGGGTTGGATATAAGATAGTGAAGTCAGTTTCAGACAAGGTGAAATGGAGACATTTTTCAGGAGCAAATGTCCAGCATGTAGATGAATAGATAATTATGATGCTGGGGAGAGACAAGGGATAAAGATAGATATTTGAAAGGTGTCAAGACCAGATGGTCCTTGAAACTATGAATGTAAAGGAAGTTACCCAGGGCGAGTGAGATAGGTAGCATGTCCAGGGTGCAATACTGGGAGATGTTGGGTGTACAGAGTGGATGGAAAAAGGAGAGTGTATGAAGGAGAAATAAGAGTAGGAGGAGGGCAGTGTCATAGGAACCAACTAAGTAGAAAGTTCTACATGAGAGAGATAATCAAATGCAGCAAAGTGGACTGTGAGATAAGAATTGAAAACGTCCATTAGGTTTGGTGATTAAGAGGTCACGGGTGGCCCCGATAAGAGCAGATGTGGTGGCCAGAAGGAAACAAAGACAGCATGTGGCTCCCTGGGTAGTGGATGGGTAATGAGGAGGTAAAGGATACAACGGAAAAGAGAAGAATGCCTGGATGGTTGCCATGGGGACATGTTGAGTTAAGTGTTTCATTTTCAAGGATGGAAGCAATTCAAGCATGCTCACACACTGAGGGGGAAGAGCCCTCCGAGAGGTCAGAAATCAGGAGAGAACAATGCTAAGTGATGGAATTGGTCCAAGGAGAGGCCAGAAGGATGGTGCAGTACATGCGCAGTCCTCAGACAGCAGCAGGGCCAGCTCATCCTCTGACACCACCGTCCACTCCTGTGTAGACAGGCAGGGTCACTGAAAGTCCATGTGGTGTCTTCTAGTGAGAACTAGAAGGCATCACTTCTCAGTGAAAACTAGGGAAGGGTCAGGGCACAGCTCTGCAAGCAGAGCAAAGCCTGGATTTCGGCTCCTAGATGCCTTTGTGCAACATACTGCCCAACTCCGCACAGTAGGACCACAAGGCCCTGGGGGCATCCTAGACATGTCATTGGGTGGGTCTGGTGGCTCAGGCTGGAATCCTAGCACTTGGGAAGCTGAGGAGGATTGCTTGAGCTTAGGAGTTCAAGACAGACCAGCCTGAGCAAAATCAAGGCCCCATCTCTACTAAAAATAGAAAAATTAGCTAAGTGTGGTGCCTATAGTCCCAGCTACTCAAGAGGCTGAGGCAGGAGGATCATTTGAGGTTGCTATGAGCTAGGCTGACACCATAGCATTCCAGGCTGAAGCTCTCTCTTAAAAAAAACACACACACACACACACACACACATACATATATGTCATTGTCAGTGATAAATGTCATTGCCATCTGATCCCTTACATGGTAGGGTAGACTGCTACCTTTCTTTTTTTTTTTTTTTAGGGACAGGGTCTCACTCTGTTCCCCAGGCTAGAGTCATAATTATTGCCCTCTGTAGCCTCAAGGTCTTAGGCTCAAGCAAACCTCCTGCTTCAAGGAGCCAGGACTATAGACACATGCCACCACACCCAGCTAATCTTTAAAACTTTTTTGTAGAGATGAGATCTTACCATATCACTCAGGATGGTCTCAAACTTCTGCTGTCAGGTGACCCTCCTCCTTGGCCTCCTACAGTGCTAGGATCACATGCTTGGGCCACTATTTCTGGGCTTTGTTTCTTATTCTACTTTGGGATTTATACCCTAGGAAAAACCCCTTCCTGCCAAAACAAACAAAACAGAACCCAAACGTAGTTGAGTCAAATGTATTTAGAGTAGCATCATTTATACTGATTTTTTTTTAAAAACCTGGACACACCCCAAGTACTCAACAAAAGGGGAACAACAGAGGCAGCACCTGTGGCTCAGAGGAGTAGGGCGCCAGTCCCATATGCTGGAGGTGGCAGGTTCAAACCCAGCCCCAGCCAAAAACTGCC